GAAAAAATTTTTAATGAACACAATGACGAAATTAAAAATTGACACAAGTTTAATTGAGGGGCTTCAAAGAAGAATTCTGTGCTCGATTTCGTTTCAGAAACATTAGAGGCTTCTCGTGTGCTGCATTTCCAACGGAACAGTTGTGACATCGTCGGTGGGCGCATAGTGAAATAGTGCAAAGGAGAGGAAGAAAAGTAATTGAATCAGCAGATGAAATATACGATTCCAAAATTAAACCAAAAAAATTCCAATTCATACAGCTGTCGCATGTATAAAAATCCAACCACCTGAGAGAATACGTTTGTTTACAATTCTCGATAATTTTGCATGTATTGTACCACTTTAAGGAATAAGCGCATATTCGTTCTCAATAATTCAACAGGTCTTTGTAAAAAAGCCATCGATGCGAGAATAAGCGTGCGCATATGTTCTCAGTAATTTGTATAGAAATTCCAATTCATACAGCTGTCTAAGACGGGTTGTTGACAATGTTGGACTACGTATTTCAGTCATGTCGGGCCAAATCAGGACCCTGTTACGATCGCTTCATAATGTACTGGCCTTGTGAACGGCCAGCGCTTCAAAAAGCAAACGATGGTCATGCCTTGAGTACAGAAAAAAGACGTCGAGTTTTCTAAGCTTTTTACGCAAGTTAAAATGGAATTTACGAAAGCTAAGAAGATGCTTGATGCTCTAACGCGCGAATTCCTTGAGTGCCAAGCCGTGATTCGCGTCGCACAAATAGTGAACGCACAACCTGTAGTGTGGCCTGCGGACAGTTCCATGGACGGCCGATTAGCGTTCAAATTCTGAGCTCGGCGGGTGGTACATGTCCGGAGATTGAATCTAGTGGTGTGCCGGCCGTGATTATGCTGTCCTTTGATCTGGTCGCCAAATCCACCTTTAATGGGTAAAGCTCGGGACCATCTGGATCAGTTGGCGATATCTAAAGAAATTCCCCTAAGGTTACCTCCGCCGAAGCTATAAAGAGGACGCGCGATAGCTCCGCAGTGGCATCCCATAATTGAGTAGTCAATCTTTCGACAAGGAATAGTAAGCCTCAAGTATTGCGTTGGAGCTAATTGTCGTCTCTGAATATTAGTAGAAGATGTGAATTAGTTTCGGTTCCAGCGAGGAAGGCTGCGTTTATTTCCAGGCTGGCTCCCTATAAGACAGTTTAAGGTATACAATTTCATATTTTAACGAAAATTCCGAATATCAACTCCAGCAGATTTTCTATTCTCAAAATACCCCAGTGCTATCCTGGACAAGTCAGCAAAAACTAGTTATGCAAACCCTTAGTTTTGGAACTATCGAACAAAATGTAAGGATCTGAGAAGAAAGCTTTACGATTTATATATTGACACAGTGGATTGGGAATATCAAGTGCTTGCCTTCGCAGAGACATGGTTAAAATGCGCAATAAATTCAGCGGAGTATCAAGTTTTCAGACATGATAGGTCTGGTGAAGTGGGGGTGGCGTCTTGATTGCGGTATGTGTCACAATTCCTGCTAATTTGTTTTCTGTTTCCAATCCGAATAATGCTGAATTCATTCCGAAGTTATCTAACCATAATTTATATATAACTGTCTTCTTCCATCGTCAAATTCAGTTATCTACTTATAGAATGTCACTCTCGTTGTGGTCCCTTCTTTGGAGGTATAGTGAATCTGGGCTTTGTAAAGAATTTAATGACTTTTATTATATATTTTCGATGGACGATTCAAGCGATTATGTGAAGTCGACCTTGTGTTAATTTACATTATTAAGAAGACTGCAGCACACCTACAAAATGTTATTATGTAGTTTTGTTTCTTCTTCTTCTTTTACGCATTTTGATAATGAATGAATTAATTCTTTCCCACTTAAGTAGTGGGATGAACTTTGCTTCTAACTCTTAATTTAGGATAAATATTTTATTTTTAGTTTATAATCATTTTTGTTAATAACATTGAATTAAATGTCTTGGCATAATTTATATTAGAGAATTACAGGCAAGATGGTCATCTAACTTCAGTTCACTTACAACACTCGGGGGAGATATGAATCTTTCCTTACTTGATTTAATCCATAGAAATTGTATTTACTGTTACTAGTTTATCTTGTGTTGACTGTGTTAGCTAATGATGTATTTAAATAAATAAATATCTATTAGACCATGCGAATGGTTTTAGATCTGTCCGTCTTTTTAACACTGGTTTTTGAAACACCTGAAAAATGGCCTCATTCATATAAAACTTATGTAGAGAGTCATAGTCTATGGTATCAGGCAAATGCCTGAAGTCCGTTGCCAGCGCTTTCAAGGACTATCTGCCGCAAAAAATGAGCATGACACGTCAGTAAACACTTCGCCGAAAGCCAAAGTAGACGTAAACATAATGTTTTTGAAATAAGGCTTCATATAGCACTGTATTGGACTAACCGTAGCAACACTGAGATAGCAAGGGACTGTACTGAGAAACTTTTTGTATATAAAAGTGCGTCCGTCTTTAGGCGTTGATTGTTAAAACGGCGTTTTTTTCCTTCTTTCACCTTTAGCACTTTTATGCAAGCACTGTTCTCTTGGAAAATGGGTTACTACGTGTTATGTAATAAAAAAATTTCTTCTTACTATTTACAAATTAACGATTCGTACTAACGATTAGAAGTTCATGGATCAATCCTCAAAATAACCAATCAATAAACTAATCATAGAGCTACAAACGTGCACATGTACAATAACTGGATTTACATAACCAGGGAAGTTCTTTACAAAAATTTTCAATTTTTAGGAAATGCTAAACAGAGGACACACACACAGAGGACGCACACAGAAGAGGAATTTACTAAATATTTTTTTTTTGTACATTTCTCAAGGGTAAATTGCTTTTAATTTGGAAACTAATCTTTTGTTTATTGGAAGATAAGGTATTTTATAGGATTGAATGATTGGAATAGTTTGCTACTACTTGAATAAATGACATGTCTTCAGACATGTTTGACTTTACGCATTTCAAGTCCGGAGTTGTTATGACATTGCTATATGAACCGTACATTACATATTGTATATACATTTAGATTCTTGCGTATAGTTATATATAGTTTGAGAGTTATACCGAAATGAGGATGACAATCGTGATTCTGCTTTTTTGGCAATGCCTTCTTCGTTATAGCTCGCTTCTGGCGGACTACGCCAACTAAATTCGACTATTCTGTGGCGTTGCTGATACTACCTTAAAATTCTAGCGAAGACAATTCCCGGATTCGCTGGTATAAGTTTTAAGTAATTTTTTAATAAAATTGAAAGTGTCTTAGAACAATCACATTAAATAAAACTTAAATCGTTGTCCATCATTAGTCATTGCTTCTCCCATCCTTCTGTTTGTGCCGAAGGGACAACTCATATTTTGAGAGAGAAAAAAAAACATTTTCGCAAGTCATTACAAGAACTGAAGTTCTGGTCGGACAGACAGAAATCATCATTTAGAGCTGAACGGGCAGTATCTGGTGAATACAGCGGGATGTGTACCTCATTCAAGTTTCGTTTCCTGCATGAACATGAGGCCAAGCACTTTCATGCTGAAAAATCAGCCTTTGAGTTTCAATTAATTGTTGCTGGTAGCTTTTTCACAGGTGGCTTCGTTTGATGGGAGCAACTCATAGTATACTACATCCAGCTTATCACCGCGAATAGATTCTTCATAGATTTTTGGCTCTATTCCTCCAAAATTAATATTACACCTAATCTGAATCATCGCTCTTCACACTTTGAACGTAGTAATAACGCATCCATTTTTCAGCAGCACAGCAGAAGGAATAATATTATACGCAAATGACTTTTTAGCGTAGGACGCAACATATTCAAGCCTCCCAAAAACTGTTTTACAACAAGATATGTTTGAAAATTGAAATATAGCAATGAAATTGGCTGCGATGCGACTTAATATTAGCAACGCTCTCTATTGCAAATCCTTTCCAACTGACTTGCACCCGCAGTATTCGAATGTTATGATAAAATGGATGGAATTGATAAGTACGGTGGAAAGAAAACTTAACGAAATAAAGTACAATAATGCCGACGATTATGATGAACCATTTCAATTCCAAACACTTACATATGTTTTTCAATCGGGCATTTAGTAATTCACTTAATTGATTTTTTTTTTTTTTTTTTCATATAAATAATGAAATACTTATGATAACAGAGTATACTATACAGATTTATATGCGCTAATAGTTTCTTCTAGTATAGTGCTAACTAAGGTGAGTTTTATAGTAAACTATATATTACACACTACATCTTTACGCACGCATACGTTTATCATACGAGGATTAAAATAGGATTTAAAAACAAATTGCATTTACACGCAATTACAAAAAAAAAAAAAAAACAGAGTGATATTTTTACCTTTGTTCTCAAAAGGATATATTTTGAAACAAGAAAGCAACAGTCGGTGAGATTTAATAGAAATAAAAAAAAAATATATATATATATTTAAAAAAAATTAACCAAAAAAGGAAATCACTTCTAAGTTGCAGTTCTAGATGGGAGAAATTGCATGGTGTTGCATTATAAATTAAAATAATAATAATAAAAAAAAAAAAATAAACTAAACTAAAAGATTCAAGCTGATAAATTAAAAAAAAAATATTTAAAAAGCTGTTCACACAATAAAAAAATAAAGACGAGTGCTCCTTGAGATTTTCTTAAAAATATTACATAAAAATTAAAAGCGTTTAAAAAGCTAAAACATAAAAAGTTTCTGTATAATTGTTTTTTTTTTTTTTACACTTAAGCTTAGTTAGCTTAAGATCGTATTTTCGATTTTCTTTGTTTTTTTTTTTAATCAACAATATTTGTTATTTGTATCTTTAATACTTTTTAAGATTAATAAAAAAACATTTTTTTTTTTTTAATATTAATCTTAAAAGAGTGACGTAGTTCAGTTTTATGTACAAAAGCAATGCGAATATTTGAAAAGAAAAAGATTTGATGACAAAGAGTAAATACCTCCAGTTACAGTCAAAGTTGCGAAATCATATTCAGCTACAGTGAAACCTGCAGAATTATGGGCTGTAATTCTTAAATTGTACCAAGTGGCTGGTTCCAAATCTAGGACAACGTAATTATTATCTGGCTTAACATTATTTGAAATTTGATTCCATTCAATTTGATCGCTGAAGAGAAAGACAAGAATACATTTTAAGAAAATTTGGTCCAAAAAATTATTAAAAACCTACCGTTTCTTATTCTCTACGACAAAGTGAGACATGGGGCAACCGCCATCTTTCCAAGCTTTGAAATGCAACGATACCGAGTTCGAGGAAACCTCAATGAAACGTGCTTTTTCTGGCAATTTTGGTTTATAGCCTTTAGTACGTGTATTCAAGATATCCGAAGCCTCACCAGCACCAATACTTTATCAAAAAAAAAAATTTACTTTTTACTTGATTTTAAAGATATGTTTTAAAAATATACTTACTTATTGAATCCTGTGGCGTAAACTTGATAACGTGAACCGCACAATAAGTTTTCAATCGTATATTTTTGAGCATCAACCGAGACTTCTGAAGTTTCCCACTCGCCAAACTCTTAAAAAATTTAAAATCAAACATAAAAATGCTGGATCTAACTGTACCCTATAGTTTATATAATGCAAAGACATCTTTCACCTTAGGTTCACTTTACGTTCATTTCTTCTCTTCTAAAAATTTTTAAAAACTAGAATGCGATAATTGATTTTTTTCAAAATTGAGTGCATCAATCAATGACCGTCACGCTTTAATGTGAGTCAATACTATTAAGTAGCGTTCACCAACAAGTCGAGAAGAAACAAAAAATATGTTTTTCTGAAGAATGTGCATTTTTAAAAGTTTCTAGCGTTTTCTTCTGTGCAAAACCATTTTCGGTAATCCACTTAAGTCGTGCGAATGCCTTAGGGCGAGGCTTATGCATTAAACCGTTGGTATTACTATTTACCTGGCTTATAATGAATTGTGTAACCGTGCAGTGGTGCGGTATCGCCTTCATAAGGTTTCAATTTCACTGTTAATGAATCAGTTGTGGTAGCGGACAGAGTGACCTGTGGTGATTGAGGTGGAGCCAAAACAATCAATTTATGTGTAATAGAATCCTTAGCAATTGAATTTTCAGCGTGGCATGTGTAGTCCCCGGCATCCTGGCGATTAACCGATTTAATTAGCAAAGAACCATCGGGCAAAATGCGCATGCGATCATTGCCAGTGAACTCGATTCCTTTAATTTTCCATGTAATGTCAGGTTGGGGAGCACCAACAGCTAAACAAGGCATTTTAGCATCTTCCTTGAATGTGGCTGTGAAGGTATCATCAAATGAGGCAATCTTAGCGGGTACTTGATCACTGGGCATGGCAATTATGCTTTTTGAGGGTTGGCCTTCACCGATATTAGTGCTGGCAGTTACCCAAAATTCATAAGGTTTGTTCTTTTCTAAATCGGTAGCTTCGTAACTCATTTGATAGTGTGGGATTTTTTGACTCTTGGGTTCGCCTTCGGCACCTTCAACTTTAGTATAAACGGTATATTGTTGAATAATGCCATTGGGCTGAGCTGGTGGACGCCATGAAACTAAAATAGCTGATTGACCCATAACAAGGGCCTTAACATCGGTGGGAGCTTCAGGTACTGTGAACGCGAAAGAATTATGATTTTGAAAACAGTTACTTCGAAAAATGTTGCTTACCATCTGGTTCAGTTTGGCAGTGGATAGGAGCGCTGCGTACACCATCTCCGCCAGCGGTCGTGGCCAAAACTTGCATAGTGTAATTGGTATACTTTTTCAAGCCGTGCAAAACAGTGTCAGAGGAGGCGGTCTTCTTATAGTGGCGTCTAGTTTCATCTGTACAAATGCAATGGAAAATTTTAACAATCTCAAAAGTTCTTCTAAATTTCCTTCTCATACTTACCATACCATTCCTCACTGGAAGCGTACACAACTTTGTAGGTCTTGATAACTCCATTAGCCGATTCCAGGGGAGGACTAACCCAACTTACACGTATAGTCTGTGAGGTTAAAGTGGTGCAGGCGGTGTCGCTAGGTGGTTGGCTAGGAGTGCCTTCGGCAGTAAATTGTTTCTCTTCGTCACTTAATGGTCCAGCACCGATCTTATTAAAGGCTTGTATAACCACTGAGTACTGTGTATAAACGCGTAAATTGTTCAGTTCCAAACTATGTTCTTTGCCTTCCTCCGTCAAGAAGTTAACGGTCTCAATGATATAGGAAGAGTTAGTGTTCGATAACTTGTAACCCACGTAGTAACCGAGAATTTCGCCATTCCATTCTGAGCGTGCTGGTGGTTTCCATGTTACTCGCAATGTCGTTTGGTTCACAGGTTCAACTTTAATGTTTTGTGGTTTTCCGGAGGGAGATTCTTCGGCAGTAATTATTGTGACAGCTTCGGAAGATTGTGAGGTACCGATGGCGTTCTCAGCAACAATGCGTATATTGTAAGTGGTGGCAGGACTAAGTTTTTGTACTTGAGCTTCGGTGGTATGACCTGGTACCATAACTCGATCAATTTCATCCCAAGAAGCCCGTGAACGTTTAAACTCAATAATGTAACGAGTCAAAGGAGAATTACCATCGTAGGGTTGAGCCCAACTCAGCTGAACCGAGCGACCTGATTTATCCAAAACCTTAAGTGCATATGGCATTTCTGGTACTTCCTGAATAATCATATTTATACTAGCATCATCAGAACCGAAGGCATTAGTGGCAACACAAGTAAACAAAGCCGAGTCCGAACGTTCGGTGCGTTTAATGGACAGACTGGACATGACACCGGTTGAGAGAATTTCCTCACGTATTGTGTAGCGATTATCGTTCTTAGGATCCAAACGCATATTATTCATGTTCCATAGAATGCCGATAGGCTTTTCACCTTTTGCTTCACACTGTAAAACAGCTGGTTCACCTCGTCGGGCGGTTTGGTTGCGTAACTTTTCGGTAAATTCTGGTGGTGCCTGAACGCTAATCATAATAACAGCCGATAAACCGGAACCAATACCATTAATAGCTTCGCACAAATAATAACCTTCATTCGTTTTTTGTATATTATCAATATGTAGAGTGCCTTCTTCGACCCGTATATTATCGTTCTTTTTTAAATCCTTATATTCACCGGGACTATCACCTAAAAGGAATTATCATAAATATATATATATATAAATATTGTTGTTGTTTAGTGAGCACATCCATTATAGTGGTTGCGATCGATATAACTAGAGACGGGAAGTCTAATACGCATCATGAGAAGCAGAATGGCGATTTTTCAACATCTTCATCTTACAATTAAACTGCGTTTATGTTCTTCAAAGTTGTTTCAGGATATCCAACTAGTCGTTCTTACTTCCATTAACTTGAGTTTCTAAATCAGGAATACGCTTGCTAGGCCTCACGGGCAAAACAATTTTTCTGCAGAACCGAACTTGAATCAGCGGCTACCGTCGTCGGATTGAGCAAAAAAAAGAAGACCGATCTTGATTCTATAATATCTTTGTCTTTTTCATTGACATTGTCTTCTAACTGGGCGGAGGGGAATGTGTAAGCAAGGCTCAAAACGAGTTCAAACGACCATAGCAATGCAAGGAAGCGTGGAAACGGGTTGCCATACCCGAACGACGAGAGCAAGAGTTATAGAACCCCATGCGGCTCAGCCCTCAGTCAGTCAGTGACGGACGAATAAACTATGGATAAGCTGGTCAAAGCAGAGTTTAGATCGAGTTACCCAAACCTCGTCGAATAAGCCGACGCTTGCGGAAAACACCAAATACATACTCGCTCCGTACAGCTGTCGTCTCAGTAGAAGCAAGGACCAGAAAACAATCGGTTCTACCATGAACTATTTTGACTCCCATGCCCTCTAAGTCTACGAATGCACAGTGCTCAAGACACACCAAGAATACAAGTTTATAATCTTCGGACAGACCGCCCCATAAGCAATCTCTAGTTTCAGAACGCGAAAATGCATTCAGAGATGCGTGCTCTATAATGAAAGCTAAATGTAACTCTACCCTTCTCACTATTATCCGAAGGCACCGACCCATTCCTTTAATAGCGATTCACGTTCCCTAAAATTTAATCTCTTAACACTCTGAGTTCTTAGCCTGTCAAGCAAAGGCAGGCCTCTCTTTATCCTATACGGATCCAGAGGGAGTGAACCCATCAATACCTGTAAAGCGTCTGGTGAGACCGTTTTTTTTTAAGTGTGATGTTGAACTAAATTCTGGCAAGTACATTTCAGTTACAACTTTTTAAATATTTTACTTATCCAGACATTGCCTTAAGTGTGTTACATTATAGCGACTTTGAGAGTATGACATACACACATGCTTACAGAGTATGTTAAATTTACATTGCTATTACATAATGGAACAACCGATCCAAGCTAAGTACAGTTTCTTCCATTGTATACGCGAACTCGTTTACAGGGAAGTTAGCATCGCGCGAAAATCGCGAAAATAAAGGGAAAGGTAAACATATAAAAAGCACATTACTTCTATGATTTGCTAAAGTCTGCCTATATGGTGCGTATTAGAAAATATTTTATAAATTTACTTACCTACTGCTTTCTTCCATGTCACTTGAGGTTTTGGGAAACCATCAGCCTTGCATTCAACTTTAGCGTCTGATCCTTGAGCGAAAGCTTTATCGGTGGGTTCCAAAATCCATCTTGGTGGTACTGTTATTTATTTTATAGGAATATTTGAAAGATTAAAAGTTAATATATTGGTTAAGTAGTTGAACAATATGTTTATATATATATTTATAGATATATTAAAAACAAGCATGCGGAGTAGTTAGGTTATGAAAAACAGATGGACGGACTAACATGAGGGATTAAATAAAATGGTTTCTTTATTTTAATTAAATTCATTAAAACTCGCTTTTATTATTATTTGAAAAATGTTTTTTTAGAAGGACATAAAAAAAATTATTATTAAAAATATAACAACTCTGCGGTACTGTAGCATAACTCGCTTTGTTATTGTTAGTTATGCTTAAACATAAACATGACATGAATATCGTAAAGAAAATGACGTTTTATGGTTTTTTTATTTGATGGAAAACAAGGCAGACAAGATTTTTGCTTGTTTTTCTAAATCCAACGTAAACTAGACTGGGGTTCGTCTTATTAATATTATAATTGTTATTGGATCCGTATTGGCGTGAAAGGAGCTAAAGACTATATATTTTCTTAAGTTATTTATAGAAACCATTTTATTTTTCTAAAAAAGCTTTACTACCGGCTCCATAGCTGCTGTTTTAATGCTGTTAATTTAATTACTTTTTTAAAATTTATAAAAAAAAAATTATTTTAGAAATAAATCGCTTTCATGTTTCCGGTGTTAAAACTTTTCTTTTCCCTGCCTAAATTCTAGTAAAGGAAAAAAAAATGTTTTTTTCTGTTTTAAGCAAAATCATAAACTAATAAATGAAATGAAGCTTATAAACTATGTTTAGTATTAACAAACTTAATCATAAAAGGACAACAGAATATTTTTAGAGTTAATAAGAAATGAGAAACGGAAAATTAATTGAAAGAAAAAGACGAAACTCTACTAGTCGTGCATGCGTTAAACGATATGTTAGATGGTGTTCTTTGTAATAACATATAACGAGTATTTTTCATCAAATTATTTCATAATTTTTTCCAAACACCAATTAACATTTTATCGCTTATATACAAATGAGAAGTTTCAAATAATGTTAACCAAAGTGTAAATGAAGTAAAAGGATTTTTCCGGGAATAGGATTAAGGTAAGGGATTAAAATGAAAAAACACAGCGACAGAAAGGATTGAGTAAAGGATTCAGTCCTGGTTTATTGCTGCAGTGTATTGTTTGTTCTGCTTCTTATAGAGGGACTAACACACAGATAACCTTTTGCTATTAATTGAGTGTATATATATATATATATATATATATATATAAGTTTTTGTACAAAGTTTAGAAAAGGTTGACGAAGCAGGGATTAAAAGATGTTATATGAAATTAAGGTCATGGGTGAGTGTGTTCTGACGATAAGTTTAACATATAGTTATTGATTTAGGAAATATTTGCTGCGCACATTTCTAGACATTTATATGTATATATATATATATAATACATTTTATATATATCCACACATTTGTAACAAGCTGAATAGGCCGTAATTACATTATATGATGAGAAAGCCACATTAAAATATTTCAAAAAAATAAATTTTTTAAAAATTATAAAAAAAAAAAATTATTAAATTATAAAAACCGAATTTTTTTTATAGCAGCCTTTTCAAAAGCCATAACGCATTCATTTTGTTTAAATGGTGTCGATGTGTAAGCAGTATTATATTTGCAATTTACAGACACAGGCATGAGATTCCGAATGTGTTAAAGTGCTTTTAATTATGTATTGATAGACAGTGTCTGCCTGGTAAAAGTGCCTGTTATAGTAATTGGTAGCGATGGTGGTTGGTGCTATTGTTGGTTGTTGTTCTTGTTTTAATTAATACCTACATTTCTAATGCAAGTGCTTGGTGCTTTTTGGGTAATGATAAATTACCGGAGACAACTTAATAGCACGACATCCCAAATACACTCTAGTAAAATCTCAAAAATTTTGGCATTTTTGTTATCGTTAATAGTAGCGGTGCTGCTAATTAGCAACCATTTGATTGCTTCATCTTTCATATCCATTACTTGCATGGGCAAGAATTCTATTAAATTTTTCCATTGCATCAAACGTTTATGAGGCAAACGCATTTACTTACATAGAATATGCAGTGTGCTACACACATAAGTGTATATGTAAGAAAAAATCCGAAAAGTAGAATATATGTGTAACTTTTTTTAATTACAAAAAATGTCTTCATATTCTTCGTAGAATAATTTCAATAATAGTTTAGTAATAGTTTAACAGAATTCTTGCCCATACAAAATAATGAGTATGAAATAGCAAGCAGTCATGTACCAGTTTAACAGAATACTTGCTCGTACAAACTAATGAGTATGAAAGAGCAAGCAGTCATGTGGTCACTAATTAACATCGCTGGTAATGTTATTGATAACAGAAGCCACAGAAAACTCCTGAGATTTTAGTAATTTGTTTTTGAGCAAAATGTTAAGACATCTTACCATTTAGTTGTCTCTGGCGTTACTATGTTGAGCTGTTTAGCTAATTTTTTTTTGTTTTTTTTTTTTTTTATTGTGACAATATGATTTGAATTTAGTTTTTTTGTTATAATTTATTATATACAGAGTTTTCAGACACTTTCAACAAAAATCCTCATTTCCCAGCTGGTGAGAATGAATATATCAAGAATACCAAAAATTACGCTGCTTAAGAGTGAAGAGACCTGACATTATTATTGAGTAAGAGTTGCTTCAAATTTTAAGCCAAAGTTCTAGTGAAGTTTAAGTTTTTATTTGCAAACCAGAGGATTAAAGAAAAATTTTATGCTAAAATGAAAGCCGTTACGTTTTAACAGTTGATCTTTGTATGCCGAATATATCCTAAAGGGGCCTTGTTGTTTAATTACATCGTTAAATGAGAGCAAAAATGTTATCTTCAAGGCTTACAACTTCGCTTTTGCATGACTCTAAAGAAGGTGAAAACCAAACGTTGACGATAACGCCCTCCGTTATCAATGGAAGTAACACCACGATCTTAAAAAAAAAAAAAAGAAGGCGCAATAATTCCTAAGGTTCATATACTGTAGAACAAGTAAAAGGTATCAGATTTTTGACCAGTGTGTGCGATCGTTACTATAAATTAAACGACATGAAATCGTACAAATTGAAATTTTTAATCAAATCTTAGCTAATTTTACACAAAGATTGCTAACTGAATGAATTTTCTGCCTTCAATTCGATCCTCGGGTTAAATCGTATTTGTGTTTTCAGGTAAAATTTAGAATCGTGTCCCATTAAGTTATTAAGCCATTTAAAAAGTTTCTTTTTTAAGTCCGTTGCGACATTTCAATCCCTATGTTTCCCTCCTGTTAGAAAACTATTTGTACATTAAATTTATAAAAAAGAATGATTCCCAGCCGAAACACTGATGGAACCATAGCCAAGAATTAATAATTCCTAGTAAAGCATATTTAGGGTCATTTTCAATAAGTTAATTTTAGTTGAAAGTCTGTTAACAATAAAATTCCTTAACTGACGCTTTTAGACAAAAAAAAAAAATGAATTATTTGCTTTCGACCAACGTTATGCTAAACGTGCGATGCGCTGTTTTAACTATATTACTGTAACAGGGTTGCAAAGACCGTAGTACGAAAAGGGAAAACCTACATTTTATTTACCTACATTGTTAATTACCTCTGTCAAATGTTTATATATGCAATGCATTATTTTGAGGTTATGGAGAAAACTTTTTGTTTTTTTTTTTTATCTTCGTTTTATATTTACGTATATTTTAAAAATATAAAATTTAAGCATTCTTAGTGTATCTTATATAAGAGAAAAAAAATCACAATCCATAAGTACTTCATAGAAAACAATTATATGTGCAAAAATGACTCTTAATATTGGCTTCTATTGCTAAATCATAATATTATGTAATTTATATGGTATTGTGTCGTTATGAATAAGGACTTGTTATTTTGTTTGCTTAGCATAGAAACTGCCAACGTTCGCAAAGTGGTTATATTAATTTTCTCCCATTCCGATAATATTTTAGATTTAAGATCCTTAAATGTAGAATATTACGTAGACGTTGAGAGTATATTGGCGAAAAATATTCCCCAAAGGTCCTTAATCGGGTTCAGGTCGGGACTTATGGCTGGCCACTCCGGGAACGGTATAAAGCTAGATTGCAAAAATTCTTTGTAAACTGTGCGGTATAGAGCATTGTCGTGTAGGACCGTCCAATTATCATATATATATAATTCTTCGATATCGTCTATTAAATTATTATCTAAGAAGCCAAAATATTCGTTTTGCTGAGTACGAAGCAAATGTTTGTCTTTCCTCGTGCTCAAAATGTAGCCCATATCTTAGAAATCCACGACCATGGTTGCATTTGTAGCATGTTAATTGAAGATATCGGACATTCCCTCAATATTTATAATCCATCCAATTTAAATTAAACTTCTTTTCGTTTCGGAATTCTTTCGCTAACAATTTTCATTTGTCATCAAATGCAAAATTAGGATTTTTAGGCGCTAGGTTAAGCGTGTTTTGGGTTTTGTGTTTCTACCTAAGGTCTTCTTCGTATTAAAGAAGTTTCTGCACACGCTGTCTCATTACCTCCAGGCCTAATACTACTTTTAGTTGCCTGCAAACCATATCTTCATTAGTTGCTAAATGGTGTGTACAAGCCTCTTGGACCTCTGATCCAAGGTTGGGATGCGCGACTACTGTGCTTAATGCAACGATAATTGTGAGGAACTTTTAGACAATTTGACAACGTATTGGGATGCTATCTTGTCAATTTTTTTCTCAGCGCTTTCATGTGGGATTTGCAATCAACAGCTAAACTGTGAACAGAATTCTTCCTTAAAATATGCTGAGAACGCCTTACTTACTTACCTATGACGAAATATTGAGATAAAAACTGAAATATTCACTGTTCAGCGAATGACAATAATTACAGTTATTTTCTATTAAAAGGCCAGCTTATTCTGATGATTTCAGGTAGCGAAACTACAGGTCAAGGCAAAAGAAGAAGAAAGCACTTGCGGAAGGATAAGTGC